TACGATGAAAAGTTCATCTAAAGCGAAGAAGTCGAAATCAGTGTCTGAATAAACTAAATAAACTAGTTAAGTTTTGAAGTACAATATCATTTGTATCAATGTTTTATTGGAACAATTACAATCGTCTTAAGATTCACCCTGGAATTTTAATTTTACAAAAATTGAAGTATTTTACGAATTTATTACAAAGTAAGACACAAAAGGAAGAAAAAGGTAGACCTGTGATAGATCCGTCAGATACGTAGCTGGAAGATCACGGCATTCAACATAAGGATTCAGAATTTGAAAATGGTAGAAAAATAAATTATTAGTAAATTTTTAAACATTTTGAACAAAAAATGAATAATCAACTAATAGTCAAGTTTATGTTCCTTCGCATCCAGGTGGTTATTGCTCGCAATGAATTATATGCATGATTTATTAGTCCAAACAAGGATTATAAATACAATCCTTGTTAATTTAATATAATTTAGTTTATGAAATCCTGGGATATGTTAACACTCAATGTATTCATTTGTCTTTAAACTTTATTATCTTTTATTTTAATTCAGTTTAACCACAAACACACTTATAATGCTTATTCCAAATTTTATTACGATCATGCAACTTGTTTTATCGATTGAGTATTCATTTTCGTTCAAAAAGTTCAAAAACACTCAATTTACTTACTACAAAGCACTAGACAGTGTTTCCTTAAGAAGTTATTATAAACATTTATCAACATTTATAAACATCATCATTTAAATTCACATAACAACCAACAACTTATAATGCTTATTAAAAACCTTATTACGATCATGCAACTTGTTTTATCGATTGAGTATTCATATTCATTCAAAAGATTCAAACAGAATCGATTCACTTACTACAAAGCACCAGATAGTGTTTTCTTGACGAATCCCAATAATCACACAACATCTTATGGTATTTATTTAACTGGTGAAACAATAACAATGGACATTCCAACAAGTGTAGTTAATGTGTCCGACATCGTCAATTGGAAAGTAGTTTATCTCAAAAAAGATCGATTGATGTTCGTTCATAAAAACAAACCTCAAATTCTGATTAATCAAAAGACTATCGAAGATATGGAATATTCTGGTAAATTAACTGGTTCAATAATAGCTTTTGGTGACAATGAAGCTCTTCATGTTCCAACAATATTCAATCCAAATTTAACAGGACCGGTTCCTGAATGGAATTATATTGAATTGTTGTATTTCGATGCTAAAAATAAAAAGGTTTCTGTGAAGCGATCCTTACCTTGGCTTAAGAAAGATGATTGGGAGTTTATTAAAGAATGGAAAATGATGGATTATATTCATTTCGACGATAAATTATACCTTCTAATCAAACGCAGTATTTTGAATGAAAAGACCAAAAATGTTACTCAAGAGATATCAATAATACGATTGTGTCTTGACAAAGGAAGTGAACTTATTTCGAGTGCAATTGAGATTCGTTATAATCGACCAGAGTTTCAAACTAATCAAATTACTGGAGCTATTTTCATTTGCTTAACCTATTACAAACCCGAAAAAATATTACTGTTAATAACAAAAGAAGCTTCCAACAAGAGCTTGATTCATACTCGATATTTCATCGATCATTTTGTTTCATTGTTTGACAAAACTGGTCAAGAATGTGCTTCAGGCGCTAATAATTACACTTTAATGCGATATCATTTACGATCCGAAGTTCGTAGTTGCCAAAAAACTACTTATAAAAATTGTTCTTCTAATCAGAATACTGTACCTTCAGTTCAACTCAATTTCGACCTAATATTAGATTATCATTTAATCTTTGGTGATGCTGATGGTATTATAGGAGATCCAATTCCACAAATTGAATATGCTTACACTTCAAACCTCACTCAAACTCATTTTTGCTACCAGAAAAGTGGCTGGGCACAGCAATGTATTAAAAATCTCAAAAACTTCAATACCAATAGTTCAATTCACAATGTTGAAGCGTTCTTTTCTGGATATCCTAATCCAGGATTTGCTAAGTTTTTGTTGGCGTACAACAGTTTAAATCTCAATGATTGTCGCCACTGTGGCCAAGCCATTAATAGATACTTAACATGTTTGAAAGAGGATAACATAACATCGGTAGACGATCTCCAACTTCATACTTTTATTAATCACCGACCAATAGGATATTTTCGAGTTACTAAAGAGACTAATAAAATATTTACCATTTCTACATTTAAAAATTATTGTGAAGGATATAAAAGTTGCACTCATTGTATAATGTATGGTATGATTGAAAGCTGTATTTGGTCCGATTCAATATGTAAAAAGGACATGAACAGTGTTAAACAAACTGTAGATATCTGCTTCAAAATAGCTCGAATTTCACCTTTGCTTTTCAACTCTTCATCACCTGGAACTTTGACAATTGGATTTGATAGACCACTAAACCTTAATGACACTCAAGAGTATTTAGATATCAAAGCTGGTCCACATAATCATTGCACCAACATAACACCAAATCACAACAGATCAATCTTCAATTGCTCTATGAGATTATCTGAATCGGGTAAATTCAAGATCAGTGTTAGTCTTCAAAATGATAGATATGCCGATACTATAAGTATAAGTGCTCTATCAACTGAAAATGTTGATATTGTTGCGCCCGAAGCTGATTATTTGCCAATAATCATTTCATTATTTTCAGGTGCAACCTTAATATCATTGATAATAATTTATGTAAGGTTTAAAAAGCAACAGTCAAAAGATCCAATAAAAGATTCAAATACGAATATAAGAAAATTTTCTGATTCAAAAGAGAAGCAAGGATCCGCTGAAGCTATAAATGCTGTAACGCGTGTTGAAGCACAAATAATATCCTCTGCAATGAAAACTACGAAAGACTCGATGATTCAAAAGGAACCATCGAGTAAACTGGTTAAATCTCGAAGTTCAATTCCATCTGTATCGAAACAATTGGATGTATCGAAAAGTCAAGTCTCCAACCCCAGTCTGAAGAGCACTAAAAATCAAAAATCAACTAAAATTGATGTAGAAATTATGAGATCAAAAAGTTCGCCTGTTGTGATGAAAATTAAACGCAAAACGAAGAAGTTGAAGCCCAAAATCAGTGTCTCAAATAAACCTAAATGAACTAGTTAAGTTTTAAAGTACAATATCATTTTTATTAATAATAACTTTATTGGAACAATTACAATCGCTCCCCAGATTGACCCTGGAATTTTAATTTTACATAAATTGAAGCAATTACGAATTCATTGCATATTAATGATTAATCATCAAGCCCAGTGACTTTTTTGTGATCAGCTGAAACAATTTTCTTTGTAAACATTTTGTGTAGCATGACATGTTAAAGGGAAGAAAAATTTTTGTCGCTTAGATTTCATTATTTACACATAAAATGCATTAGGCTCGACACGAGATCTGTTTTGTGGACATCGAATGGACTTAAAATCAGAACAAAGTTGTTAATAAAAAGAGACAGTACTTGCATATTGTATTAATACTTGCTATTTGTGAAAATTTCAAAGGTTACCATCAATTGACATTTGCTTATTGATCTTGACTGATTTGTGATAAAACTACATGTGCACCAAGTGTAAAGTACGATCTCCGTACGAATTATCTCCGACAGATCAGTTAATTTCAGATAAAATCTTAGTGATATGATTAGATTTGATATGTTTTCATTATTGCTGGTAAGATAGTGCGTGAAACAATGGAATTATAAATTAAAATGAACAATTCCGATGAATTTTGTAATCGAAGTCTCACCTTTCTGATTTTTTGATGAAAGCTCGTGATTTTTGGTGATTTGGTTAATTCAAAACAAAATGACATTTAAACTCATTGTTGTTAGTGTTTATCACAATTTTATTCAATGTTTAATCACAGACTAGTCCATCATATAAAAGCAAAAGCTAGCGTCACTAAGAATCATTAGTTTAATAATTAATTATTGTTAACCCAACAACTACCAATCAAAATGATCCGAGCTGCTATATTCATTGCTTTATTTGCATTGGCCGCTTCTGCCAGCCTTTCCCTTGACTCCCAATGGGAATCATTCAAGGTAAGTCTATTTTACCAAATTGACTTGATTCGTGAGTTGATTCTTATTCCTGTTTCATTGCTCAACAGACTAAATACGGCAAATCTTATGATTCGGCTGAAGAAGAAACCTACAGACGAAATGTTTTTGCCCAGAAACTGGAAAAGATCAAGGCTCAAGAATTTATCAAATAATTCAAATAATTTAACTCATTGAATTTGTTGCAGACCGCCGAGGAATTCAAAGCAAAACACCTGGATACAAGCCCGCT